AAAAAAAAAAATTTTTTTTTTTTAAAAAATAAAGTAAACCTGACCAAAAGTAACACCTCTTCTAACTTTTAATGTCTTAGGATAGTTTTCTCTGCTTTTGAGTTTTATAATCATTGGAATATCCCATATGTATTATGTCTGGCTTCTGAATTCTTCCACTTAATGTGATATTTGTATAATTTATCCGTATTGCTATTTATCGCAACAGTTTGTTCATCTCATTGTTTATAATATTCCACTATATAAATATGCTACAATTTATTTATCCATTCTATCACCAAATATTTAGTTATTTCTACTTTTGGACCGTAGTTATTTCTACTTTTGGACTGTATTTTTATTAAAAATAAAAATAAAATATGAATATTCATAAAAAATATACATTACTTTTGGTGAACACGGATGCACATTTATGATAGGTAAATACCTAGGAATAGAATTGTGGGGTCACGAGAAATGCTTTAGTATATACTGCCAAACAGTTTTCTGAAGTGGTTGTTTCCACTTTTCCCTATTGCCAGTGGTGTAAGAGAGTTCCAGTTGCTTCACAGCCTTGAGAAGACATATTTTGTCCTTTCAAATCTAGCCTTTCTGGTGGGTGTGTAGTGGAATCCCATTTTGGTTATAATTTGCATTTCTCTGATGACTAAAGAAGTTGAGCATCTTTATATATGGTTATTGGCCATTTGAATATCCAGAGCTACCTTATTCTTTAAATTTGTAGAAGTTTTATATATGCTGGGTGTTTTGTTAGATATTTGTACTACAAACTACTATAGCACTTTTAAGATAGAGTAAATGTTGAAGTTAGTTTGTATATCTAATATTTACAAAGACAGTGGGTGAAATAGTGAAATCCTTTTCTGGAGTTAAGTGAAATTTCTTTGACCTTTAATTCTTCCATGGTGAAATTTGCCCTTTGGCTCCATTCCAAGAAGTTAAAGTGCATACTATTATAATTCCTTTAAAAAATGTTTTTTAGGGGGCGCCTGGGTGGCTCAGTTGGTTGAGTGTCTGACTTCGGCTCAGGTCATAATCTCACGGTTTGTGAGTTTGGGCCCTGCATCAGGCTCTGTGTTGACAGCTCAGAGGCTGGAGCCTGCTTCAGATTCTGTCTCTCCCTCTCTGCTCCTCCCCCACACGTGCTCTGTCTCTCTCTGCCTCTCAAAAATAAAGAAAACTAATAAAAAAAAAGTTTTTTAGTATTGATTCACACTTACTGAAAATTTGTTTATATAGTTGAAAGACTTCCCATATATCGTTACTCAAATCCTCTAATTGTTAACATTTAATTCCACTTTCTGTATTCTGTAGATTTGTGCTCTATCATATATTTCTTCTGAAATATTAATTTGTACATATTATGTGCCCCTTTATCCATAAATGCCTTGAGTATGTATTTCCTAAGAACAAAGGTTTTCTCTTCCAAACCACAACTTAATTAAAAATTTAAAAAGTTTAGGGTGCCTGGGTGGCTCAGTTGGTTAAGCATCCAACTTGGGCTCAGGTCATGATTTCACGGTTCGTGAGTTTGAGCCCCGTATCAGGCTCTCTGCTCTCAGCACAGAGCCTTTTTGGATCCCCTGTCTCCCTCTGTTTCTGCCCCTCCCCCACTGATTCTCTGTCTCTCTCAAAATAAATAAATAAACTTAAAAAAATTAAAAATAAATAAAAAGGAAGAAATTTGAAATTGATATAATACTATTATCTAATCACAATCTATATCCAAATTTCACCAGTTGTCCCAATAACAGCCTGTATAACTTTACTTTTCCTGGTCAGGGCTCCAGTCCAGATCACACAGTGGATTTAGTTGGCATCAGCCTTTCTTTGTCCTTCATGACCTGATATTTTTAAAGCATACAGGCCAATTATTCTGTAGAATGGCATTCCATTTATGTGTAACTGATGTTTCTTCATATTGAGGTTCATGTTATGCAAATATTGATGACTTCAGAGAATTACATCAGGAGCCTTATCATGTCCCTTTATCCCATTAACCGTTATTAACTTTGATTACTCAGATAACCCATTGTAAAGTTACTATTTTTCTTTTTGTAATTAAAAAATAATTTATGAAGAGATACTTTGAGACTCTCTAAATATCTTATTTCACCCCAAACTTTTACTCACTACTTTTAGCATTCTTACTCTGTTTGTTTTTGCTTTTTTTTTGGTTTTTTGGTTTTTGCTTTTTTAAAAATTAATCTATAATTTTTCTTCCCTCTCATTTAGCCCTTCAAGTATAATATTTTCTTGGAATTACTTTTGAAATGTTAAATATTTTTGGAAATTTTATTATTAGTCAGAAATCATCAGAATGAATTTGTGTGGCAGTGATGCTTCATTTTATTTATTTTTATTAAAAAATTTTTTTAAGTTTATTTGAGAGAGAGAGAGAGCATGAGTGGGGTAAGGACAGAGAGAGAGAGAGAGAGAGAGAGAGAGAGAATTCCAAGTAGGTTCTGTGCTGTCAGTGCAGTTCCCAACGTGGGGCTTGAACCCATGAACCATGAGATCATGACCTGAGCCAAAACGAAGAGTTGGACACTTAACCGACTGAGCCACCCGGGTGCCCCAGTGATTCTTCATTTTAGCCAGATTTTATTTGGAGTCAATTAAAAGCTTTTTTTTTTAAACTTAAAACATAGAGATCAGTAAGTTTGGGTTTGAACGTTGTTTATTTTAAGACATTAAAGTTTTTGAAATTTAATAGTAATTACAAGCATCTGCATTTCCTAGAAGTGCTGAATTTTCAGTTGTTTTCACCAAATATTGTTAGTAGACCACAGGACAAAGTGTGCCTCCCATAATTTGATTGTTGTACCAGATAGAATAATCTATTTTCTTGTAAATCAGTAATGACATTGAGGTCTCGGAGAACTTACATATGCTTGGGGGAAAATATTTTGTAAGTTACAAATTAAAATACTTTTTGTTTTTATATTGCAGATTGGTTTTTCAGCAGCAGATGCAGTAACGGGACTGAAATTGGTAGAAGAGGGAGTACCCAAAGAACATTTAGCCTTATTGGCAGTTCCAATGGTTCCTTTGCAGATAATATTACCTCTGATTATCAGCAAATACACTGCAGGTCCCCAGCCACTAAACATATTTTACAAAGCCATGCCCTACAGGTAACAATGAAATAAAACCTAACTATGTAAGAAAGGTTAAATGAGTAATATTCGTCAGTATCATTAATGCCTGTGTGTAAAGTATATATGAAAAAGACTTGAAGAACGTCTTTAACTGCAATATCATTTATATGCACTTTTATCTCTTTTTAACTTCTTAACAGGTTTTAGATAGCAGGCTTCTTTCACATAGTAAGCATACAGATTTCTGTTTTTGTTACTATTTTTTAACGTTAATGGAAGTAAACTCCATGTGTCTTTCTTTGTCTATAGATTATTGCTTGGATTAGAATATGCTCTACTAGTTTGGTGGACTCCCAAAGTCGAGCATCAAGGAGGATTCCCTGTATATTACTATATCATAGTGCTGCTGAGTTACGCGTTACATCAGGTAAGTTTGCCGTGGTTTTCTCAGGAAGTAAACTGTTTTTGGCAAATAAAGAAGACATTTTTCTACAGTTGCCTTGAAATAATGATGATAAATTTTAAGACCGAACCATGAATCTGACACTGAAGAAATTATTTAACAATGAACTTTAAACCTAGTGGCTTTTGATTTATTGAGCTCTATTTGTAGAAAGTTTCTTCCTCATTTTTTTTTGTCCATTCAACCAGTATTTGTTACATTACAGAATTTATTCCAAAGCCAGTAATTCTACCCTTGCTAAGTATCCCCCAGTCCGTGTGTAAACTTGGGTTCTTTATTTCTTCTATTCCACATGCCTTTTCTTTCTGAAAGTACTGAGAAATGATGGCTACTGAGCTAGAGATCCCAGGTTTTCAGTTTAGATTCTGTATTGAAAGTTATGACTGACTCTTTGTGATGTTGGAAGTTGTGTGTTAATATGCTTTCTCTTTCTTTATTAGGTATGTTTTGCCAGCACTAAACTGTAGACTCCCAGCAGTAAACTTTGGGACTTGACTGCAGTTATTACCAATGTATATTTAAGAGTCACTTTGGATTTTTCTCTGGAACCTAGTTTAAATTCTTTGAAAGTTGTATCTATAAATTCTTCACTTGTTTTTTAACTAAAACCTAAAATTATGGCTACCAAGTTATCTCAATAATTTTTTACATACAGTTCATTTAGGAGAACTCCATAATGGATCTGTCCAACTAACTGTATGTTTATTTTTAGTTATTTATTAAAAATTTTTTTAATGTTCATTTACTTATTTTGAGAGAGAGAGAGAGAGAGTGTGTGTGTGTGCTAGCAGGGGAGGGGCAGAGAGAGAGAGGGAAAGAGAGAAAGAATCCCAAGCAGGCTCCATGCTGCCAGTGCAGAGCCCAGCGCAGGGCTCAAACCCACAAACTGTGAGATCATGACTTGAGTCGAAATCAAAAGTTGGATTTTGGCACCCCAAATAACTGTATGTTTAAATAATAACTGTAAAATAATAACTGTAAAAATAAATAACTGTATGTTTAAAGAAGTACTTTAAGGAGCACCTGGGTGGCTCAGTCAGTTAAGCGGTTAAGCGTCCCACTTTAACTCAGGTCATGATCTCATAGTTGGTGAGCTCGAGCCCAAGTCAGGCTCTGTGCTGACAGCTCAGAGCCTGCAACCTGCTTCAGATTCTGTGTCTCCCTCTCTCTCTGCCCCTCCCCCACTCAAACTATGTCTCTCTCTCTCAAAAATAAATAAAACATTAAAGTTAAAGTAGTACTTTAGCTTAGTAAATGTTTCACTCTCTGTGTAAGTAAAGGAAAACTACAGTGAAGTAATCCAAAATCATTTGTTTGGCTTTGGATTTCATAAAAAAAAATTTCTAAAGTGTTGTTGATTGTTCAGACAGCCAGATGCTTTCTGGGAAAAACAGTACAATGCCACGTAAATTTGAGAAATAAATGATACATGACATAACCTCTCTTTATGTAGCATCTTAATCATTCTTTCAACAAATATTAATCGGACACCTATTCCATGCCAGGAACCATACTGAGCACTAAAATATAACAGTGCATATCCCTGACCTTAGGGCGTTTATATCCTAAAGGCTTTCAGAGGCCTATAGTGAAAGAGACCTATTTATTTTTTGTGAAACTTAGTGTTTTCCGTCTTATTTGTCTTTGGAACTCCTTTTTCTATGAACATCCCATGAAGCAGTATTCGAAGGAATGCAGTTTTGGAAACATGGTTTGTTTCCATGTTCCTAAATGGAGGGTTAATTCTTGCCTCTTAAGGAGATTTTTCTCTTTAGTTTGTCTAATGAGTTTTGTAATGTCATTTTTCTTTCATGGATATAAAATAAAATTATATACATATGTATGTATATAATTATATATTCATGTTCCTTTGGATATTTGCTTACATGTGTAGTATACACACACACACACACACATATATATATATGTATATATGATGTATTTAGAAACAGTACAAACATGGGGTTTTGCTAATTGCCATATGTATCCTTGGATGGCACCCTATCTTTCATTTTCTCTATTGCACCTTCCTTGACTACTTATTGTAGAATTAATAAGTAGACTATTAATAAGTAGAATTAGTAAGTAGACTACTTATTGTAGAATTAATATCTCATTTATTTGGTCCCCAGTAGCACAAAGTGTGTACTTCTACTTACTTACTGTATTTCATCATAATTATTTATTTCTTATTTTCCCAGCCTAGAACAAGTTCTTCAAGGGCACAGACAGACTGTTGTCTTATTCATCTTTTTATTGCCATGGTCTGACCTGCCCTATAGTGGGTACTAAATAAATCTTTGTTGATTTGAGTTTAATAAGGGTCATGAAAATTAACTTTTAGGTTTGTGATTTTGATGTTCTTAATTCAGACCGTAGTTTTATAAGGTCTGATTATGCTAAAGATGTTTTATATTTTCCTTGTAGGTTACATTGTATAGCATGTATGTTTCCATAATGGCTTTCAATGCAAAGGTTAGTGATCCACTTATTGGAGGAACATATATGACCCTTTTAAACACTGTGTCCAATCTGGGAGGAAACTGGCCTTCTACAGTAGCTCTTTGGCTGGTAGACCCCCTTACAGTGAAAGAGTGTGTAGGAGCATCAAACCAGAATTGTCGAACACCTGATGCTGTTGAGGTAAGTATTTTGTAACTATAGATAAAATTAAGCTAATATTAAGATATTGATTTTCAGAGGTGTCTGACTGGCTCAGTCAATGGAGCACGTAACTCTTGATCTCAGGGTTTTAAGTTTGTGCTGCACATTGGGTGTAGAGATTACTTTAAAAAATAAAATCTTAGGGTTGCCTCGGTGGCTCAGTTGGTTAAGCATCTGACTCTTGGTTTTGGCCCAGGTCATGATCTCACGGTTCTTGAGTTTGAGCTGCACCATTGGGCTCTGTGCTGGCAGTGTATAACCTGCTTGGGATTCTCTCTCTCTCTCCCCACTCACCTGCTCACGCTTTCTCTCTCTTTCAAAATAAATAAAATAAAACTTTAAAAAATAAATAAAATCTTAAAAAAAAAAGAAAGATATTTTCTTATTTTGCCTCTAGAGGTACTATGTCTTTAAAAAAAATTATGTCTGGGGGTGTCTTGGTGGCTCAGTCAGTTAAGCAAACAACTTAGGCTCAGGTCATAATCTCACAGTTTGTGAGTTCAAGCCCCATGTCAGGCTCTGTGCTGACAGCTGAGAGCTTGGAGCCTGCTTCAGATCTGTATCTCCCTCTTTCTCTGCTCCTCCCCCACTCATACTCTGTCTCTCAAAGATGAATAAATGTTAAAAAAAAATTGTTTTTTTTTTTAAAGTATATTTTGAAGGGTAGAGCCTGTGACTCTTGATCTCCGGGTCATGAGAGCCCCACATTGGATTCTTTAAAATATAATAATAAAAAAAAAAATAAGGGGAGCCACCCATCATGGTTCTTGAGTTCGAGCCCTGTATGTGGCTCTGTGCTGACAGCTCAGAGCCTGGAGCCTGTTTCAGATTCTGCGTCTCCCTCTCTCTGCCCCTCACTCACTCTCTGTCTCTCTCTCTCTCTCTCTCTCTCTCTCTCTCAAAAATAAATAAACATTAAGAAAAATTTTTAAAAATAATAATAAACAATACTTAAAAAATATTTTTTGTTAATCTCTTAAATTACAAAGTAGAAACATCTAAATTGCTGAATACTTCCATTTTGAAACTGTGAAATATTTATTATAATTTTATTTTTGCAGCTTTGCAAAAAACTCGGTGGCTCATGTGTTACAGCGCTGGATGGTTATTATGTAGAATCCATCATTTGTGTTTTTATTGGATTTTGTTGGTGGTTCTTTCTTGGTCCAAAACTGAAAAAATTACAGGATGAAGGACCATCTTCATGGAAGTGCAAAAGAAGCAACTAATGCATTCACTACTGGACATTCTAGGAAGGTAACTGCAGTTTCATTTTAATTCAGACAGCTATGATAATCAGTGTACAGGAGTATAAAATGTTATTTTAAACACAGAAATTATTAATATAAAATGCCAAATGATTAAAAAATAGAGACCTCTCTGTATAGTTGATTATATTTTCCTTGCCTTGTCAATGTATTTAAAGTTTACTTAAGGTCAGGACATTGGTTCTAAAACAAGTTTTCTGGCCTTGTTATTTGATTTATATCTTTTTAATTTACTGACCAAAGTATGTTTTAACCTGCAGTGCAGTAGTCATGGGTGACAACCATGCAGTCAAGTATTGTTATCAGTACCTATCATTGAGCTATATTTAAAATTTTGGTAAAATATATTAAATAGAACAAAGCTTGATATCCAGGTACTAATTACAACTAGTCTGGCCTTGTTGGCAGTTAAATCTTACTTTGAATTGCAAATTGGTTAAATTCTATGTGGAATTTGCTGAGAAGAGAATGTAGACTACTGAAATGCCTTTTTAGTTGTTATTCTTCTGACTATAACCACATTGTACTAATGAATCTGTGTTAAAAAGACTCTTAAATGTATTTACTGCTTTTGTAAGCGTTAAAGATTTATAAGAAGATTATTCAAACTATTTTTTATAAAATGAAAGCTATGATTTTTAATTTAATGATTCCCCTGTTCCCCTTTTTTTGGAAGCTATTTTGATTCTGTGTTAACTTTTACCCTAAAGCTTACATATGTTTTTTGTCATAAGTGCTTCATGGCATACAGACAGCTCATGAAGGGATCCAATTTAGTGTTGTATGTATGTTCATGGCAAAGTTTTGAAAATAAAAAATGTTTTTCTTCAAGCAGTTTTTTTATTACTGAGAGGAAAAAAAAACAGTAAAGCTTTCCGATTAAGTAAAATGTAAATGAGTAATTTAACGATAATTTTAAAGACTAATGCTTTAGAGAGACAAAGACATTTTGTGCCTTTGACAAGTTAAATCATGTTGTGGAAGATGGTTTCTCAATTAAGCACTTTACTAGTGAGAAAACACCTCACAATTTATATGAAATCAGGTACTGTATTTCCACTTATGAAAACAAAACTGTTTGTAAACTGTAATTTCCAGTGGAGGATTGGTATCCCAGGAGAATTATGCTTTTGAATACGTTAGCAACTCCCAACATATTATGTATACCCAGTAATAAGGTTCTTTGCATATTTTGTGTTGTGTATTACTCTGACTCTAGAGATTATGTAAATCCTTCCAAAGTTATAGAAAAAGAAAGATTGAGTTTTACTTAATTTTGTGTTTGTGGGAAAATACTAATTTTTGATTTTGTTAATTTTATAACATAGGTTGAATTTTAGAGTGGGTTTTTTTTATAAGTAATGGAGGATAAAAATGGGTGGGAGAAAATGGCACTCAGCATCTGAAGAAAGATAGAGGCAGTGACCTCTAGAACTCATGCATTGCCATTGGAAAGCCTGTGTTGGGCATCGATGCCAGATCCTGAAGAATCACCTGGAAAAACATCCTAGAAACAAGGAGGCTACACCAAACCATAGTCTACCATACTTTGTCACATGGGTTGTCCATTATCATGTATTATAACCAAAATGTTTACTTGAATAAAGAAAAAAACCCACTTAACTCTCAAATGTGAAATGTATTTTACTTTTTAATTGTTGGATTAAGAAGGTCACATTGCCATAATTACCTTTCATTTCTTACCCATTCCTAAAATTTACATACTTTCAAACATACTTTGAAGTCGACAAATCTTTAATGACTTGAAGTATTAAAATATATTTTAAGCCTTTAAGGTGAAAGCTATTAATTGCATTTGCTCTAGAAATGAACAATTATTTTGGATTATAGTTGTTTGGTTATTTGGGTACATGCTTGTAATGCATACCAAAAAATGACTTCTTAATAGCTATGTGCAACTAGGTTGTATACATTGATCACTGATGGCATCTTATAAACGATCTACTTGAATCTGAGGATCTGTTGATGTGAAATTGGTAGTATTAGAAAAATACTACCTATTTTTCCCTATCTTTTTCTTTACTGATAGATCTGGTAATCTCTGCCCACAAGTACGAACATTAACTTTTCCAGTTAATATATTATATATTTACTAGCTAATATTCTTATAAATCTGGTAAGATTAGCTAAAATTAAAACCAAAACTTCCTTCCTTTGTAATTAATTTTGCCTGATTAATCATAAAAAAAATTGTTCAGCACCTAAAACCGATTTGTCTGTTTTTTTAACATTAAACTTTTGAGCTGTAAACCTATTGTTTGATTTAATTCCTTTATTACAAGGATTTTTATCCTAAACACGTGTCAGTGGGGTCTTGAAACCCCTGCATTGCTAGCAAAACTGGATATGTAATTTTTTGTCTTTCTGAAGAGAGCTCTTGTTAAAATCTTAAATGCTCTGTGATCCAAAAAATTGTAAAAGCTATGCCTTATTGAATGTGAACTGACTTTGAATTGTAAACATAAATTTGAAATAATAGTTTTGAAACTAATTGTTTAAAGCATGCCAAAAACAATGTTAAAAGAAAAATCTATGATGAAAACTAGAAAATGTCTGCATTTGTAGTAGTGAACTTGAAGGGATTACTGGTAGGGGAGGGATATGAGGGTAAATATAACCCTAAGAAAAGATATTTCCTAGTAATTTAACCTTTTTTTCCTATGGATAATTTCTATTTGCCCTGTTAACAGATACCCAAAAAGTATGTTGTTTTATATTAAATGGCTGAGATAATATTTAATCATAATTTAATATAACATAGGACCAGACTTGTGTTTTGTATTTTGGAGGGATCATGTTTTCTCATGTGGTTGAAAGAATGAATAAAACTATAACACAGACTCTGCTAAAAATACAGAACCAATTTGTTGGGGACATTCCATGCATATTTCCAAAATGTATTTTACCTTAGTATTAGAGAAAGAAAATAAATGTTAAAAAATGATTCCATTTTAACCAGGATAAATATATTTTCATTACAGAAGAAAGGTGATAGAGTGCATTGTACTAGTGAGACTCTTTTTAACCAATGTCTTTGGTGAATAGCAAGGCATAATTATTTGATTTTTCTCTTAGCAGATTTTAAATACCAATTATAGACCTTGCTTTTGTTTTTGTTTTCCACTATAGCTTAATCTCTGCCTGATTTGACAGTGCCATTTTTTTTTAATTTTTTTTTTTTTTTTTTTTTTTTTTTTACATTCTTGAAAGAGAGAGACAGAGCACAAGTTGGGGAGGGGCAGAGAGAAGGAAACAGAATCCGAAGCAAGCTCTAGGCTCTGCGCTGTCAGCACAGAGCCCGATGCGGGGCTTGAACCCACAAACTGTGAGATCGTGACCTGAGCCGAAGTCGGATGCTTAACCGACTGAGCCACCCAGGTGCCCCGACAGTGCCAAATTTTTAATGCAGCCACTATTTAATTTGGGAGTAGGTGCTTTCCCTTTCCTACCTGTCAAAACTGCTATTAGAATCTTCATTTTACTCCTTTAAATTGTGAGCAAGGTAAATGGGCCTGGAGAGTTTATGTTTTTTCCTGGAATTCTGTTTTGGTAGAGGCAGGTCCTATATCAGGACAGTATAGTTAATGTACAGTACAGGACTCATGCCAGGACTCATGCCATCTCCTTATGTGAATAGAAACATTTTTTTTTTTTTAAATTTTTTTTTTTCAACGTTTATTTATTTTTAAGACAGAGAGAGACAGAGCATGAACAGGGGAGGGGCAGAGAGAGAGGGAGACACAGAATTGGAAACAGGCTCCAGGCTCTGAGCCATCAGCCCAGAGCCTGACGCGGGGCTCGAACTCACAGACGGTGAGATCGTGACCTGGCTGAAGTCAGACGCTTAACCGACTGCGCCACCCAGGCGCCCCTAGAAACATTTTTATTTGTCAGATTATAAAGTTTGCTTTTAAGGAGGTTTTAGTTTTTGATTTTGTTTATTGTGGGGTGGTGAACATTTTACAGAAAGCAATACTTTTATGTAGTAAAATGAAAATTTTATGATTAATTTCTCCTTAAAGAATTTTACCAAGTACGTAATTTTAAAGGTTATATTAAAATATTAGCAATATTACTTTGCATGATATATGAAGTCTTGAAGCATTGAGAAAAAGGTTGCTACATTTTACTAGTTTTTTATTGGCACTATAAGACATAATTTTTTATAACAATTTTGTGTGAAGAGTAACCAATAAAATGACTGAAATGAACAAGGTACTGGTATAATTTTTAGGGAATTATCATAAGTCTCTCAGATCTAGTACCCTAGTCAATTACAATTAATCAGTCACTATTATAAAATAAATTTAAATTATTAAAGCCTATTCTTATTTTCATCAAAATGACCTTATATGTTGGGAAAACTTTTTATAGCCTTATAGTTAATGAAATTGAAATTTTTATCACATGCATCTATAAAACTAGGAAAATATAAAATTGGGACAAAATTTGATATTTTAAGAAGTTAGTTTGGCATATTTGATAAATTGATAAGATTACCACTGTCAAGTTATATCAGTGACTCGATATCTATTGTTCCTCAGATATTGCCTTTGCAAGAATTAGTGTAAAACTGAAAACATACTCAGTGTTGAAAGTGGTCATTGTTGGGGTCTTTATGAAATAATTGCACCCATGTACAGTTGTGAATTAATGCACAGCACAAAATCATTTCTATTGTTATTTTTAGAAGATCTAACATTAGTTTTTATAGTTTAGCATTATTTAAGTGTTTTAGTATATGTGAAATGTTTATTTGGTTAATTTATTTTCAAATGTATAATAATAAATATTTATTAAATATTTATGCAATGTTTAAATATTTGAAGTATATTTGAAATAAATTCTCCAGATTTTTACATAAAGGATTAAGTGCTCAAAATAATTGTTTCACAGTTGATCTCTAAAAAATAAAACATTAATGAAATATTCTTGTTTTC